GGGGAGGGAGGGGGAGGGGAGGGGGGGGGGGGGGGGGGGGGGGGGAGGGAAAAGGGAGGCGGGGAGGAGGCAGACATTTTTAATAAAAAAATTTTAATAAAGAAAAGGGAAAAAAACTATATATTTTTTCATACGTTTATTGGAAACATACCATATGCCAGGCACCAGGAAAAATACGTGCAATGCAAAGCAAGCGTGACTCCTCCGGCTCTGCAGCTGAGTGGGAGAAATAGGTTTGTAAACAGACAATGGATTGACTTCCCCACAGGCAATTCTGAAGTCATTACCAGGTTTAACCAAATTGTCCTGTTAATTGAATTTGTGTGTATCTGTGCTTTCTTGTTTTACAGAGTGACTTGTGGTCTTTGGGAATCACCGCCATCGAGATGGCAGAAGGTGCACCCCGTAAGTTCCTTCCCTGGGTAAAATTTGCTGCTGGGTGGCCCTGCGGGTCCTGCAGGCTCCTTGCCAGGGCTGCGGTTGGACTCCTTCTGCTCCACTGAGCCTGGCATGGGTCTGCTGTGGCATATTTAAGGAGCAGGAGCATCTTAAATCAGCCAGGATGTCTGTTCGTTTCAGAGCAGCGTGGTTTTGCTAGGAAAAAGAACACTAACCTGGGCGAGTCTTTTTGCCTTACCCACTTACTGTGGGGCTCACTCCTGAGGCACACTGCCTCCCACAGAACTTGGCGCAACCACAGACAATGTCAGCTCCCATGTACAGAACTCCAAAGCTCAATTCCTAGGCTCAGCTTTCACAAGCACCTGCACTTAGAGGCTGCCCGTCTTCTGGAAATATTAGGATTTGGGATTTAAGATGTCCCTGCCCTGATAGGAGCAGTGTCCCGGATGCTTGCAATCTTGAGAACCTCCCAAGTCCCCTGGAACTTTGTGCTAGCACCATAGAAGACCTCTGGAAGCTGCTGCAGTGGTGGAAGATTAGGCTGTACCTCCCAGAACTCCCTGACTGTCCCTGTCAGTGCCAACCTTAGTAGACACCAACACCCCCTTTCCTGGAAGACATGGGTTCACTTTGCAGGCAGCTGTGATTCAAGCAACACCCTGATACCTAGCTGTCCCTGCCTGGGACTACAGGACAGTCTAGGACCCACCTTCCCTCCTCCACCCTGGGCTAGGATTGTGTCACTATAGCATGACTCTTTGCTGGCCCCTGCTCCATCCCCCAGGAGTGTCCCTGCATGAGCATTCCCACGCCTTCACACCTTCTCATCTGCTTCTCACAGGCCCACGCTGAAAAGACCTGCAAAGACATTCATGACCGCTCATTCTTAGACTCAGGGCTCTCGGAGTCCTCGCTGCCCTCTTATTTTCCTTAAGTTGCTTGAATCCATGTGCAGCGTGATTGACTTGGAGTGTTTGTTGACAAAATTTCCTTTGCTCACGATGACATTTGTGAGTCGCCAAATTTCAGATACCACACTCTTAAAACTGTGTTATCATTCTGAGTGGTAGACAAGACTAAAAATAAACTACCCACAGACTCCTCTGGCATCGAGGGAGCATATATTCTCAATCTTGGTACAAAAAAAACCTATTCTCACTGTTAGAAAGTAAGCAATAGGATATGTGGATTGGAATTAGAATGTAGAGTGTGTTCATGATATTGTGTTTATGAGCTGACTTCATCCTGTGGTCATCCTGGGGCTGGAGGGTTTCAAACTCAAGGCACCCCATGCAACCTGAAGGCTGCTCGGGACACTTGGTGTCCTGGCACCGTACCAAGAGCCTAGAAATGTGCATAGATAGCAGTGTTTGCATGAGCCTCCAACGGGGAGACAGGGCTGTGGCTGTGGATGTCTTGATGCCTCTTAGATTATAGCTTAGGCTTTTGTTAAATAAAATTACCTCAGCCATGCCAATCTGACATCTGCTGCTGTTGATTTTGAATGGCAGCTGGCTACCTACAGCAGAGATGGCTAGTGTTTGGCCTTTTAGCTTATTTTCCTTATGACATGAAGTTGTGGTTACTAGGATTGTTAGTATCTGCTTGAAATGGGCATTTTATGATATTCATCTAATTAGACACTAGCCCTTTGAAAAGCTTGCCCAACACAGGTGTCTGGGCATCTGACCCCGTCCTGGCAGGCGCCTTACAGACACTGAACACTTGTGCAGTGTTTTCTGCACAGCCAAGATGGTAGTGTGGATTTGGCCTCTGACTGGCTCTGGTTCTTGTTTTTGGTCTCCCACAGCCCTCTGTGACATGCATCCTATGAGAGCCCTCTTCCTCATCCCCCGGAACCCAGCGCCTCGCCTCAAGTCTAAGAAGTGGTGAGTTTTCCCTCCAGTAGTTTGCAGATCTAAGGGTGAAGCTTTCCTGTGCTCCTTCCTGTGTGTGTGTGTGTGTGTGTGTGTATGTGTGTGTGTGTATGTGTGTGTGTGAACATGCGTCTGCAGGTGCACATGTTTGCTTGAGTGCAGAGGCCATGGGTTGACCTCAGTAATCATTCACAGTGGCTTCCTTACCTTAGTTTTATAGAAAGGGTGTTTCATGAAACAGAGGTCACCACTTTGCCTGGACTGGCTGGCCAGTGAGTCCCAGCAATCTTCCTGGCTCAGGTTCCATAACACTGAGGTTACAGACACATGCTACTGTACCTGGCTACTATACTATGTGTGCTGGGGATCTGAACTCGGGCCCTTGTGCTTGCAGGACAAGCACCGTACTGACTTAGCCATGTGCCCAGCCTCTCTGAGATCTTTTGAATTACCTGGGATCCCTCTCTAGGTCCTTCCGGGTGGATTAAAAGGATGCATACCGCAGCTTGCAGGTGACATTCTGCATGCTACCATTCATCTAGGACTGGCAGCCTCATTACCTGCTGTCTGTACAGCAATTGTTAACCCTATCCTCAAGGCAAAGGGCCATTAGCCAAAATGAAGCCCAAGTAATGGCATGCAAACGCCATGATTTATGACCGCAGTGTGTTTTCCTGACTACATGGCACTTTTCATCAGAGATGTGATGATTTAGTCAGCCCATTAGATTGACTGGCTTCTAGTCCTCAAGACAGTGGTTCCCTGCACGCCCACACAGACCCGCTAATGGTCCATGCGATGTCTCTGGCGTGGGAAATTGTGGGTCTTTGTGGGGTTATTTTAGTCCCTTCCTCTCTGTGACAGGGCATGCTGGCTTCCTATTTTGGGGAGAGCAAAATAACCTTTGTTCTTAGTAAGCCTGTCCTGACATGAATGACATGAAGGTGACGTGTTCTAAAGAGCTACCACATGCACAGTGTCACGGGGGGGGGGGGGGGGGGGGGGGGGGCACGATGGGAATGTGGATGGTGAACGATCCGGTGAGGTCTGAAAATGGAGTCCTCGGGTTAAGCCAGGTATGAGTTGTCACTTCGGTGTGTAGTCTTTACGTCTTATTATTCAGTAACAAAAATCTGATGTTCCCCTCCCCTGCTACAGAAGTGGCATGGCCTCCTTTTACTTCTTTCATCTCTGGTTCTTCTTGTCTTGGAGTTAACCCCTGCCCACCTGTGACCTCCTACTCTTCTCCCCCTAGATGTAAGTCCTGGGCAGTTCAACTGAAAGGGAACAAGTCATTTGGCCTTTTTCATATGACTTGAGGCTCAGGCCCTTGACTGGCGTCCTCGTGTTTCCCACCCACGGGCACACACCCACCACGTAGAGCAGGCTTAATTAGTACCAATCAGCTGGTAATGACATAGCAACCCCGGCTGAACAGAGGAAAGGCACACTACAGAGAGAGGGGAAGGAAACAGAAAAGCCACAAGCAATGACAGTCTCTAAGTCGCCAGACCGGCAAGGGGAGTTTGAGTTGCTATTGGTAACCGAAGGCAATGCTTTTCTGCTCTCCTTCCTCTCAGAGGGTCACCGTGGTACCAAACGTGTTCTCTCCCCAGCAACAGCCTTTCATTGGGCACCATGTAGCATGTGGTGACAGAGCACAGGAGGGCCCTTCCTCTCTCTGCTGAGATTTCTTCTCTCTCCTCCCTGGATCCCACTCCCGGAGAGGGGAGCCAGCTCAGTTCCCTCCCCTGGAAGCAACAGTGACATAGCAAAGCCTGCTGCCTGCCAGATTTCTGCTTGGAGTGTGCCAAGCTCCCTAGGAGAGCCTGCTGTATGGCACGGGTATTACTTCCTGTCCCCTGTTGCTAAGCCTCCTCCTCTTTCTTCACTGTTCTGGGGAGATATTTTGAGCTCACCCACAGAGGAACAAGCTGGCCATCCAGAGGCATGTCACCAAAGGGGCTGCATCTATCCCTGCATCATTTCCGGGACAAAACTCCTGACAAAGCCCACAATTAGAGAAGTGACACAGTCTGTCACGAGGGGAAATTAAGGCAGTGGGGGTGTGAAATAGTTGTCACACTACGTCCACAGTCAAGAGCCAGAGAGAGGCGAGTGCTGATGTTCAGGTGTGCTCCTCCTTCCTCTTCATTAAGACAGAGACTCTAATCCGTGCACAGTGCTGCCCACATTCAAGACAGATCTTCCCCCCTAGATTGCACCTGCCATCTGGTTGCGCCCTTACCACCACACTTGGGTGTGTGTCTCCCAGGTGATTCCAGGTCTTGGTAGGCTGGCAATGAAGATGAAAGACCTCAAGTCCACCCTTGTCTGCTGGACACTCAGACATATCATTTAAGCTTTAAAATTCCACCCCTGGGCCTCGAAGACTCATGATCATCTCATGGAGCAATGCAGATTTAGTTCATCTATAAGAGTTCCCCAAATCTAAACAGTTTGAGATCTAATTGCTCAAAAGCCCAAAGTCTCTGGTGATACCCAAGGCAGTCTCTTAGCTGTGATAACCTGTAAAGTTAAAAACTAAGCATAATCTAGGATCACCTGAAAAAGGAGTCTCAATGAGGGACACTGGTCTACAGGAATGGCTTGGGGGGGATTCTCTTGATTATATTAACTAAGGCAGGAAGACCTGCCCAATGTGAGTAGCACCATTCCCTAGGAGTAGGGAAAGCAAGCTAAACATTAGCATGCAAGCATTAGTTCATCATTCTTTGATCTGATTGTGGGTGTAATGTGACTAAATTCTACTATGAATTCCCTGTCATGATGGAATGTAACCTGAAATTTAGAGCCAAATAAACCCTTTCTCCCTTAAGTTGCATTTTATTGTAGCAAAAAGAAAAAGAAACTAAGACAATGCATTCAAGGGTCATCTATGCTATAACATAAACCAGTAGCCCATTCCATGTAATTAAACTTCACAGCATAAAAATATTTTCAGTAATAGACATTGTACAACTAAATCACATTTTCTTCATCCATTTGTCAGCTGACAGACATTCGAGTTCTTTACACTGTTTTGCTATTGTGAATAAATACTGCTAGGAATATTCATGTTGACGCTTTTGGTTCTCATGTGCCTCAGAACAGGAAAGTGATGAACTCTATGACAACTCATTATAAACACGTGGGAACTGTCAGGCTATCA